ACACATCTCATTCTTGTGAGAGCAATCTCTCAGGCCATGAAAACATCTGGTGCATTCAAATCAGAAACTTATGACGGTTTAGTCACAAACATGTCAGAACACATCTTTCCCTTGCTTCAAGCCATGTCAGTCTGGCCTACTGCTCCCCCTCGTATCTTAGTCAAAGCATCACCCTTTCTGGGACCATTACCGCTCCGTGTGCCTTGAAAATAGCAACTCTTTTTGTATGGCCAAATTTTACTGAGCTGGGCAACCTTGAGATGTCAAATATTTCATTTTTATTGAGTGTGCTTTCTTATCACTAAGGGGCCTCAACCCTGCCTTGTCCTGCAGACTTCACTCCTATTGGGGCCAGGTGCAATAGTTACACATACTCACTGCTCTGCTTTTCTCCTCTCTGGCCTTGAATTGCTCTTATAACAGTATTTGGGAAAACAACTTTAAACCTATAAAACATTAACTTTATTTTATCTTATGATTAGTGCAGATTAATACACAACACGGTCATGTGCCTCATTGAAGTGTGAGTCAGGTGGGGGTGGGTGGGAGTTGAATCTTCTGTGTATTGTTCCAAAAAGTGCTTTATAAGTATTTGACATGTTATATCTAAGACCACCTCCTCTGTTTAGAGATGGTGTTTCCGGGTTAACAAAGATGGTTTCCTTAAACCCTCTCAAATCATCTGTCTTCCTTGGCCAGAATAGGTTGTTATCTTATAACGGCTTGAGGGATAACTTTGTGTAGCAATCAGAGGTTTGTATTACATTACGGAATGAACAGTATATATACACTCTATAGGTTTTATATATATATATTAAAGAAATATGTTGGACTGTTCTTTTACATTACATCTTTTACATTATTAGTTCCCCCTCTCACGCAATCCTGAGCCATTTCCTCACATTTACAATATTCTTCTTTTTTTTTTTTCTTTTTTTGCAAACACGCACACATTTGCCTGGAAAAATTTTGTTGCATTGCTTCTTACCCGTGTTTGCTCCAGTACGTAAAGAGGCCTTTATGTATATAATGTCTATGGTGGCAATGCCATCATTCTTTAACTGATCTGCATTTCGTCAGTCTCTTGCTCTATGCCCTTCTTCCGGGAAAATGCTTTGCTTCTTCAGTGAATCACAAATGCAGAATTCAATTCTCTCATACACTAATTATTTGCACACAACTTAGAAATAATAAATTTGGAATTTAGTATTTGTGTGCAAAAATTGTTACATAATAATCTTACATTTTATAAAAGTCAGGTATTTTGAATTAATTTTTATTTTTGCATGTATATATCTCACTGAAATTATTACATGAAATGCAGATGTTGTGAATGGTTAGTTTTTTGAATAATTACATTTATATACAGTATTTAATTATATTTGATACTAATTTCATTCCATATCTAAGGGAATCTAGCATAATGTAACAAGCAATTGACTTGCAGCATTGATTCCCTGTGGAGCGAGTGGACAGTTGTTTGCATTGTAGTATTGACTTTGCAGCAATATCTCACATTGAGCCAGCATGGAAAGTTGTGACAGCAGAGAGGGAAACTCTACAGGAAGAAACAACCTGGGTCAATGTTAGCGGCCATCTGCCACAACTGACTGGGGGGTTTGAGAAGACAGAAAATACACGAATAACACACAAGCATTGATCCAGGAGTACTTCTTTTGTGAGAGAATGGTAAGAAGAAGGTATTGGCTTCTTAAGTGCCTCATCTTGCAGATAAAAACAGCTACGCTGACATGCTCTGAAAATGTGTGATTTTACTTAAATGTTTTAAGCATGACCTTACACATCTGTTGCTATAGGATGTGTAATGTGATGTCTGTTTCTATTCCACTACCACAGATATATATATTTAAAAACATGAAATCCTGGTACAAGTATTGAACCTTAAAAACACAATATGCATCACGCATGTACACCAGCATAATGAACTGAAGAGCTACTTAGGATTCATGTGACAGAAATAATATGATAACAACTTCTACTTTGCAGTGGATCTGCTGCTGCTCTTTGCAGACACTCTTTCAGCAATGATTAATAGTTAAGCAGTTTGGTGTACCCAAATTATTGGAGTAGCTGACATGGCAGATGGGTGATGCTTAAAGACTCATTAGGCTTGACACAAGGACATTACTCATGTAGCTACACACTATGGGCCGGATTTATCAAGATCCAATTTTGCGTGCAGTAATTTGCGCTCGCAAACTGGAATTTTGCGCGAGGGGCTGAACCATGGTTTGCGGGTGATTTAACAAGAGCGATTGCGTAACTGGTGACAGGTGCAAAACTGTTGGAGACGCCCTATTTAAATGACGGTTTTGCGCGTTTTGTCGTTTGCGGCATGGCGAGTTTGGACAGCAGAAGGCGCAAAAGGAAATTTGACCCCATGGAAATGGAGGTATTGGTGGATGAAGCCAACAAACATTTAAGTGAGCTACAGCAAAGAAGTGTGCCTGTCACACAGGGGAACGCTATATGTGAACAAATCAGTAATAAAGTAAATGCTGTTGGTGAAACCTTGCGAACAGTGGATGAAGTAAAAAGAAGATACCAGGATATTAGAAGGCGAACCAAAGAAAAACTGGTATATAACAAAACATCTGCGAACAAAAGAGGAGGGGGCACAGTGGATGAGATGCCTCTGACCAGCATTGAGGAACAAGTACAGCTGACGCTCTGTGAGGAGCAAATCACTGGAATTGCAGCTCCAAAATGGCAATGCTGGATAAACGAAATGTTTTGATGATCGTTTCCTTGTTCATTCCAAAAATATTCACACGGAGTGAAAAAATGCGTTCTCTGAGTCTCCTTGCTTCATTTCGATGTCTCCTTCTTGCTACAATAACCGCTGCCATGTGTGCGCAATTACGCATACAGACCATTTGCACCTTCTTTTGAAACGTGTTAAATATAGAGTCAGATACCATTAGCAAAATTGCTTTCAGGTTTGATAAATCACTTTACGAGTGCTAAATTAATATATTTACATGTTCTCCTCCCACAAGACGCACTTTTGCGTGTAAACGCCCCAAATTGCATATTCATAGCAGAAAAAGTACTAAATGGATAAGAGGCGCTATTTAGCATGTTTTAAAGACCAAATCCTTTTAGCAAGCTGTTGATAGATCAGTTTGTACATTTTTTAGCGTGCGCAGTGAAATAGCTCACGTTTTTATACACGCAAACCTTTGATAGATCCGGCCCTATATGAGGAAGTAGTGATGGCCTTTATGAGGTACATGATGGGATGTCTGTAGATGTTTACATTTGTGAACTCTTTGCAGCAGAAGCTGCTGCTCGCTCACAATGTTTTCTGTGCCTATCCGTCTACCTAGCTACAGGTTTTCCTAGGTGCGTGCAGCAGGGAGTGGAAGCCCAAAATGACGTAATTTTACTGTGTGGACCTTGCGGACACATTGAACATAAGCCAAGTTTTAGCTTCTGAATAGGTCAGCTAATGATTATTTTGGGATGCAACTGTCAATAAAGTAATTACTAATTTTCTCAAGTAATTGGATCTACATTTGGATGCTTTTCACAAATCTATAAATATAAATTAAATGAAGAATGGTGTTTATCTCGAGCAGTCATTAAGTTTGCCCTAGTCAGTCTCCTAGCCCAACACATGGAAACGCCACATCTAAACACACCCAAGTGGAATTTAATGAAACATGATGTGTATGGTTTTTGGCTGTGTGAGAAAGCAGGAATACCATGGGGGAAAAGACTCTCACACTCGGAAAACATTCAAACTGTATGTGGAGTTGCCCAAGAAAGGATTAAAAGCCCAGACCTTGTTGCAAAGCAGGTGCTAACAAATGTGCCACCGTGCAGCACAAACTAAATAAATTAACCCTGACACATAATCTATAGGATAGTTAATTTAAAGCTGATAAAGTGATTATGGAGCAGTAAATAATTAGTTTTAGATAGTCAAGTGTTTATTTAATAGGGGAGAAACATTGCAAAACATATCTTACACTATGGAGCAGTAAAACTAAGTAAACTCAACCCTACAGCAATTAAATTTTTGAGGTATATAATAATAGATGTCACAGGATTCATATTTAAACAAAATATTGAAACTTAAAACAGTAGTCTATAATAATTGAGGTGTTCTATGACCATTTGTTTTAGTCTTCAGATTATTAGCTCCATATTTAAAAAATGTTGTAATTGTTTTCTGACTATAAAAAGTTTCATAAGACATGAAAATAAAACAAAAAGACCTTCAGAAATCACGAGGCAGTAATCAAAATACAGTAATGGCATACATTTTATTTTGTGTGCAAGAGAAACCATAGATAGGTGCCAGTATCAGTGTTGCTGATTAATTTGTAACTATGAGCAGGCTTATTTTAATATGCAAATTTTGAAATAATCTCTCATCAAAGAAAATTCCAATCCAGCAGCCTCGTACTAATAAAAGAATGGGTCAAATAATTCATAAAAAAAAAAAAAAAATTAATATCTAACAATAACCAAATGTAAAACCTGACCACAACTGTATACCCTCAGCAACAACTGTATGTCTGGTTTTTATTTTTAGTCAGTGGCAGAATGTTTTGTTTGACTTTTTTTCCCCAACAGCATAACTTATATCTACTTTGTAAGTCAGATCTGAGCCTTTAGTTGAAGAAACTACAAGAATTAATTTGCATTTTCTTTTCTTTAATTTTCACAAACTTAAAATAACACTGATTATAATGAGCAGGCAGAGTAGAAAAAGCATTTCATCAGCTTGTATGATTAACGGCCTTATACTGACAAGTGTTTGTTAAAGGTGAAGCTTCTTCATGTACTGAATTAGATAGTAGTTATAGATAGTTATTGTGGTGTGTAATCTTCCCCGTGGAAGAGATTTGTTTAATCCTGTTATAATTTACATAATAACACCTTTCTTAGGAAAATTTCCTAAAAAAATCAAATCAGTGTATTATTTTGGATGTCTCCCACATTAACATCCATTTTTCCTTCTTTTTCAGCTTAACTTTATTTTGTTTGTGAACATTGTGCGAGTGCTGGCCACAAAGATCCGAGAGACAAACGCAGGGAGATATGATACCAGGAAACAGTACAGGTTTGTATTAAACTGGCCAAAATCTAAAAAGATTGGCTAATAATTTAAAGTCTGTGTTGTTTGTTGTAACATTGGGCTATTTTTATTATCCATTTGTTGTGCTTCCATGATATGCTGTTTAAGTCACCAGTTTTTTTTTTCCAGAGGTAATGAAAGCAAAGAATGACTGAACAGGAGGAGATTATATGGGAGAGAGAACATAGACCAGGCTAATTAGAAGATTGGGAGCAGGTGTGAACAGAGGCAAGAAGGGAGCTAGGGAAAAGGAGACTGACACAAGAGAGCAAACAGGAAATATCTAAGAACTCAAATACAATCAAAAATACCTAGAACTCAAGAATCGAAATAAGACCAATGAAAACTCAAAATAAAACTTGAACAAAACCAAAACTATGACAGGCAATACCTCTGTGTCAGGAAAGGATGAAGAATTTTCAGGGAAAATATCCACAGTTTACTGTTAAGTGACCTGATTTCGAAATACAGTACTTAGGTAGGTAGTGTTTGCCAAACTTTTTAGTGAAAGGAAAAGCATGGTAAAATCAATTTTTTGTAAAAGTTATTCAAATAAATGAGTAAGTGTAACTGGTTACTACCAATCTCTGATCATTGTTGCTAATGCAGTAGTTAGGGCAACTGACTGACTTCTTTCTTACTCAAATCTGTTGCAAACAGTGTTTGCAGCTAAAAATCAGCAACAGGAAAAGTTGCAACCTTGTGCTTTCTTTACCTTCAAGCCTTTTCTCTGGAGCAGGTAACACAGGTGATAAATAATCAATAAAGCAAGTAATTATAGACCACATTTTATTTATGTCAATTTCTTTTTCAGCTGAAGTGATGATACCTATAAGAGTTGCTGAATTACAAACACCAGAATGTTAAAGTAGCTGGAGTTACAAACAATATTTAGGGAATCTCTTCCAGACAAACTTTCAGACTAATTAGTTTTTGTGCATAATTAATTTGTGAATGAAAACAGCTGTTTGGGGGATATGGCCAGAATAAAATACAATTTATGTGAGCTAAGGGAACAGAAGAGAATTAAACAGATGTAAATAAGCTAACAAATAAGCTCATCTGGGGTTCACTTTCAACTTTGGGACCTCCGCTGTATGTCTTCTCGTCTTTTCTTTGGTCCTATTTACTATCAAAAATCCATTGGTCTTTTCTGCCTTAATCTGCATAATGTGAAGTTGCAAAACAAAATGAACTTACTTACTTTCATGTGTGGATGGGAAAAATATGTTCAATGCTTATTACTTAAGGAGTTTTAACATTAAATGGTTTGACTATTTTTTAACATAGTCTCTATAGTCAATATTTTCAATACATTTATTTTTTCAATAAAGTTAAAAAAAACAAAGTGCACTATTGTGACTCTGCAAGTCTTTATCCATCTCTTTGCTCCATCATGTGGAACAGTTACTAAATGACATGGTAGCAATGAGTTAGACTTTAGTTCATGAATATTTAAAGCAAGATTTTCAAGGTATAATGTTTTTTCAACATGTTTTCAAACTCTAGATTTTTTAAAACATTATGCAATGCTAGGTAATTTGAATTAATCTTATCAGATATAGCTTTTGCCAGACACTTGTTTGCAGCAAGAACGACAGTTTGACGGCCATCTAGACTTTTTTTTTTTTATGTAAGGTTTGTATGTTTTCCCTGTGCAATAGGTACTTCATTTTCTTCACTTCATCCAAAAACATGCATGTTAGGCTAATTGGCATTATTAAATTATCCTTAGGTATATGTTTTGATGTGTGCCCTATTGAATACATCTCTGTGTAGCCTTGTGATATTGTAGGTGTTGACCAGACCCTGCAGATTTACTTTTGGTTCAAATTGATTCATATCAATTAAATTCATTTCATATAGTGCCAATTCATAACACGTCACCTCAAAGGACTTAACAGGCACAACACAATCAGATCATGCTGTCGGATTGGTAAAAGTTTTCGAAGGAAAACCAGCTGATTGCATCGAGTCATTGATTTAGGAGGATTCACTCCGCCTTCCGCTAACAGTAGATGTGAACACATATATTTTAAAGAAGATTTAACCTCTTGAACCACCTGGGGTTCTTTAAACCCACTTAATCCTTGCAAACTCATGGAATTTGTTTTTTCCCCATTCTTCAGCGAAGTGACGATGGGCTCACACTGAATGTGGTGCAATGTGAGACCCGCAAGACACCCAGATCACTAAAAAACATTCATACAGGCACATCTTCAGCTGTGGATAGCAAGTTTTGCCCAACAATAGGGCCTAAATTGCATATAAACATTTTTTTCTCTTGAGCCTTGTTTCTACAGCTGGAGCTGAGACAGCCTGTTCGCTGCATCCAATGTAAGTGACCCTCTGCTGCAAATCGGCCCAGGAGCTGGACAATAGCTACACTGCTAAAAGACTACAGTAGGGGATTCAGTACAGTACCTATCGAGTGTTTAGCTCTTGAAATAGACCTTAAAAGTAGATTGTGAAAACTGAAGGAAGTCTCAAAAGAACCCAGAAGGTCATAATGGGACTTTTTAGATTGTAAGCTAGAACCAAAACCTTGTGATGCCTTTTAGGAGGCAGCACAAGTTTCACTGTTTTCATGGTTTTAGGAGGCTTTGATCGAGCGGGGCCTTGCCAACTCACGATCCTTGAATCCACCATGAATTCCACTGTGAATCAGAGGATATCTGAAAATATGAGGCCATCTGTGGAAAAAAACAGAAAAGGTTTTATTTATCTGTAACTAAATCAGTTTCTTTTAATATAAATAAAAAAAGGAATTCACAACACTATGGGTTTGACTCTTAAGAGAAGATCATGCCACTTATTATGTACAGAAGTGCTTTATGTGATTCTGTTCCTGACTTTGTAAATGAAAGTTAAAACTAGCTTGCATTATATAAGCTTTGCAGCACTGAAAGACACACACACAGACATTCTGACACCTGCAATTATCTGTATTTTCCTCCCCTGCTGGTCCTGTCGTCAGCACGTCAGATAGAAACATAATAATTATAACATATCATCTAAAAGAAGACGTGCTTAGAATGCTGCAGATGAGACATTTTATGTCAACCGTATGCCCATTAATCTGAGCAGATGATGGTGATCAGGTGTGATTATCCAGTGACCTTATAAACATGCCAAAGGAAATTGGTTTCTTTAATTCTAAACATGTCTCTTTCAAGAAGTAAAGCAGCAAAACCTAAAGTAACTGATCATCAAAACTATCCAGGAAGCAAGGCACAGTTTTACTTGTGTCAAATTATAGCTCCATTTACACTACCTTTTTGAAAAATTGCCAAGATCGGTACATGTACCTTAACCGAGATAACTGTTGAGTGTAAATGGCATGCAAACTTGAACTGGACCGTGCCAGAAACAACCAAACCACGCTAAACTGGTACTAGTTCATCAGGAGGGCTTGGTGTGTTTCCGTCCTGGCACGGTTCACAGATAACAAAGCACATGAGCAGATCGCGTCATCTCCTTACAGTCAGCCTCTGTAATCATGAAACATCTGTCATAGGCTCAGAGGTTTGGACCGAAAATTCAGACGAGACAGACAGTGAAACTTCAAAATAATTTATTGAAAAGCTGCTTGCCGCTGCTCATCAGCTGGGGCGGGTTCAATGGATAGGCGGCAGGGATATGGACTAAGATAAATACTTCTGAAACTCAATCGGGGAAGGATAATAAGCTGAAAGTCACCAACCTGGCAAAGTTCAGTCTGAGCTCAGAAGGAGGAGTGAAGTCCGGAGGAGCTGAGTTCCGCAGCTTGAAACTGAGCCTGAAGCAGAGATCCAGGAGGGAAGAGGAGCAGTGACCAGCAGCAGCCAGATCAAACAGAGAAAAGGAGGGATCCAGGAGGGATGATCCAAGCCGTGGTCAGAAGACGGGTCCAAGGTCGGCAACAGGTGAAATCCAGAGAAACAGAACAGGCAAAACAGAGCAGAACAGGGGCGGCCAAAACTCAGAAGTCCTGGGGCAGAAACAGGTCAATATCAGGCGGAACAAACACATACAGAGAAACGCTAACACTGAACTCGCTGGAAGCTCGAATAATCTGGCACCAAGGGCTGGGAACTGGTGGCATAAATAGCAGAAGAAACAGGTGTTTCTGATCAGAGATAATTAGGCCTGGGAGGAGCAAAGCAGATAAGAGGAGGAGGAGTAAAACCCAACCTATGGTGCCAAGATCATGACAATACCAGACTTTCATAAAAATACAAGCTTCCTTACCTTGCCACACAATTTCCAGTGACGAGTCTGCTTAGCAGCATGATTAACCTCAACATCTGTTGTGGTTTCCTGCATCTGTAAAACCTGATTAGACTACAGTTTCTCATATCCACTTCCCAAAAGCCGTCAAGTAAATTCACCAAAGGTGGCCTTCTTCGCCTGACTCACTGCAAACAACGAAATATCACAATTATAACCAAACTTCCAGAATGTTACGGGCGCCGCCAGGTGAGTTGCTTGATTCCCTCTAGAGCAGGGGTGCTCAAGTCCAGTCCTCAAGAGCTACCATCCTGTAGCTTTTAAATGCATCTCTTCTCTAACACACTTGAATCGAAAGGCTCAATCTCCTCATTTAGCTCAGCAGAGGCATGGTAATGAGCCACTAATTTGATTCAGGTGTGTTAAAAATGGGGTGCATCAAAAAGTTGCAGGATAGTAGCTCTTGAGGACCGGACTTGAGCACCCCTGCTCTAGAGAGCAGTAGTTTCATAGATCATCACTAGGAGGCGAGGAATCGCGCTAGTGTGATGTGTAAATGGTCGTAAGGAACTGAGCTCTGCATCGTTAACTGATCCAAGACCCTTCTGAACCCAGCATGGATTGGTTTCAGAGGGGTAGTGTAAATTGGGCTGATTTATTTGGTGGATGACCTGTTTGATGACTCTGACTCTGTTTGAAACCCATGTATTTCTTGTAAGTTTGGGTTAAAAATATACCCCAACTTTTCTAATTAATTCCTGTGACTCCTCATGCTTATTATCGGTGCATGTCCACGGTGAGAGACAATCTAAAAAAAATCATACAAATGAATATAACCGTATATTGTATTTTCTGGATTTTTTTTAGACGATTTTTCTCACAGTGGACATGCACCTATGAGGACAATTTCAGATGCCTCCACGATTTCTAAGTGGGAGAACTTGCAAAATAGCACTGTGTTCAAATACTTATTTTCTCCACTGTATATACCCTTGTGATTAACATTGTGTAATCACCTTAGGTTCGGACTCGAACACACATGGAAATGATACCTGCTGCTTTTGAAGCTTTTTATTTTAAGTTTACTTTGGTTGTCTGTCTGTTTCTTTTCGCTTTTATGTTTACTGTTTGTTCCTCTAATGTCATAGAGATATGGAAGCAGACTTCTAAGAAATACTTTCTTTCCATGCACCCTTTCCTTTCTCTACCTCCCTCTCCCCTTAGTACCTATCCCCCTTTTATTTCTCACCTCTATTTCTGTGTCCATTGTATACGATTTTACTCCCAATATACTACTCCCACAAATAATGCTCAATAAAGTTTAATTTACAGATATCAGGCAAAACCTTATGGCAACAGCCATACTGGTCTGCTTGTGAAAGCAAAGCTGTTGGGCTATCAGCAAGGTGTGGGACATCAATTCCCAGAGCTATACTAGCTAAACAGGACGCACACACACAACTTTATTTCCTGCCAGTCGACAGTAAAATAAAGGCCACTTGTGTACCAAAAGAAAAAAAAATTAAATTAAAAGAAAAACATTAACTTTTTTACAGTCTTGGTCAGCACTTTCTTTAACACAGCAGCAGACCAAAGTAATCCACAGGTTACTGCAGTCTTTGCATCTCTCTTCCCATTTTGTATGTGTATATGTATTTCTATATATATATATGTGTGTGTGTATAAATATTTTTATTTTTGTGTATGTGTGTGTATTATATTTATTATTTTATATTATGTATCTGCCTAAGGATTATAAAACCAATATAATTGAAAATGTGTGTGCAGACCTGGAAAGGTGTATGCTACTGTAGTAAGGCCTGCAAGCCTAACACTGTGTCATCAGTTCTGTAGAGATGAATAGGCCACAATTATGGCAAGCTATTGGGAGATTTTATATCCAAAACAATACAGATAATATGAATACACTTTTAAGCAAAGTTAGTGGGTGTGATCTGTCTTTGAGAGGCTACTTAAAATGATCTCTGCCATTTTGAGTTAAAAAATAGCTACAGTATGATTTTGTTAAAGCTGTTGAACAGCAGGAAGAGTTGAGAAAACAACACTACTCAAATAGATGTCTGGCTTCAGTTGTAAATATTGTGTTTATTTGTTTCTACAGAAAACTGGCAAAGTCCACCCTTGTGCTGGTACTAGTTTTTGGCATCCACTACATCATCTTTGTTGGAATGCCTCATACATTTGAGGGATCGAGCTGGGAGATCCGCATGTATTTTGAGCTTTTCTTCAACTCTTTTCAGGTAATTTCTCCTTACTTCTAATTTTTTGTAATATTAGCAAAACAGAAATAAACCCTGAAACCCCTTGTTTTTTTGTTTTTTTTTTGCTAATAAAGGGCACAGAATAAAGCTGTGCATAGCATCCATTCCTGATTTTAGAGTTTAATTGCATAATTTAAGTTTTCAAGCTGAAATCAACTCTTGTAACCTTGTTTGTTCTTCAACCCACGTCTGAATTGCTTAGTTATTTTGTAAAATTGTCTTTACTGCATCTTTTGAGATCTCCCAGTGGCAGACTACCTGTTACCTTGACATCTAAGGATAAATAAAGCTTCACTTTTTCTCACTTCACTGACACTTAGCAGTTACTGTCTACTGTAGGTTGTGTATTTTCTGTGCCAAGTTTCATTTTATGTATTCCCAGGTGAATGGTGGCTGCTGCATCTGTTCTCTTACTGCACTGTTACTGTGGAAAATATTCAGTTATATACACAACAGTGTCGCAGGTTGAAGGCTGCAGGCTGATCATGTTCCCTCAAACACCCTTTATTTTTGTGTGGTTAATCAACAGGGGTCCTATAGATTGCCAGTTACAATACTTAATATTCCACAATACATTTCTGTCTCATTCAGGAGTTAATAGATTCTTATTTTGCTAACACATGACTCATCCCACTCTCAGATTGATCTTGCAATGTAACAATAACAACTCAATCCATTCTACAGATTAAACATAATGAAAGCAGCTTCTTTTCAATTCTTTCCTTCTATATAGAAATCAAAATGAGATTATTACCGATAACCACAACTGCAAATAAAATGTTGTAATTCTAGATTAAAAGAAGTTGGTTCTCTTGCATTGAAAAAAAAAATCTGAGTCTACAGTGAAAGGTTCTTGTAAAAGCATCGAGTCCATGGGCTTTATACATACAGGTGCTGGTCATAAAATTAGAATATCATGAAATAGTAGATTGATTTCAGTAATTCCATTTAAAAAGTGAAACTTGTATATTATATTCATACATTACATACAAACTCATATATTTCAGATGTTTATTTTGTTTAATTTTGATGATTACAAATGACAACAAATGAAAATCTCAAATTCATCATATCAGAAAATTAGAATATTACTGAAGACCAATAAAAACAAAGGATTTATAGAAATGTTGGCCAACTGAAAAGTATGAACATGAAAAGTATGAGCATGTACAGCACTCAGTATTTAGTTGGGCCTCCTTTGGCCTGTATTACTGCAGCAATGCGGCGTGGCATGGAGTCGATCAGTCTGTGGCACTGCTCAGGTGTTATGATAGCCCAGGTTGCTCTAATAGTGGCTTTTAGCTCTTCTGAATTGTAGGGTCTGGTGTATTGCATCTTCTTCTTCACAATACCCCATAGATTTTCTATGGGGTTAAGGTCAGGAGAGTTTGCTGGCCAATTAAGAACAGGGATACCATGGTCCTTCAACCAGGTACTGGTAGCTTTGGCACTGTGTGCAGGTGCCAAGTCCTGTTGGAAAATGAAATCTGGCTTTTCCAAAAAGTTGGTCAGCTGCAGGAAGCATGAAGTGCTCTAAAACTTCCTGGTATGTGGCTGCGTTGACCCTGGACCTCAGAAAACACAATGGACCAACACCAGCAGATGACATGGCACCCCAAACCATCACTGACTGTGGAAACTTTACACTGGACTTCAAGCAACGTGGATGAAGTGCCTCTCTTCTTTTCCTCCAGACTCTGGGACCTTGATTTCCAAAGGAAATGCAAAATTTACTTTCATCAGAGAACATGACTTTGGACCACTCACCAGCAGTCCAGTCCTGTTTCTCTTTAGCCCAGGCAAGACGCTTCTGACGCTGTCTGTGGTTCAAGAGTGGCTTGACACAAGGAATGCGACAGCAGAAACCCATGTCTTTCATACGTCTGTGTGTGGTGGTTCTTGAAGCACTCACTCCAGCTGCAGTCCACTCTTTGTGAATCTCCCCCACATTTTTGAATGGGTTTTGTTTCACAATCCTCTCCAGGGTGCGGTTATCTCTCTTGCTTGTACACTTTTTTCGACCACATCTTTTCCTTCCCTTCGCCTCTCTATTAATGTGCTTGGACACTGAGCTCTGTGAACAGCCAGCCTCTTTAGCGATGACCTTTTGTGTCTTGCCCTCCTTGTGCAAGGTGTCGATGGTCGTCTTTTGGACAACTGTCAAGTCAGCAGTCTTCCCCATGATTGTGTAGCCTATAGAACTAGACTGAAAGACCATTTAAAGGCTTTTGCAGGTGGTTTGAGTTAATTAGCTGATTAGAGTGTGGCACCAGGGGCCATCAATTTTGAACCTTTTCACAATATTCTAATTTTCTGATATGATGAATTTGAGATTTTCATTTGTTGTCATTTGTAATCATCAAAATTAAACAAAATAAACATCTGAAATATATGAGTTTGTATGTAATGTATGAATATAATATACAAGTTTCACTTTTTAAATGGAATTACTGAAATCAATCTACTTTTTCATGATATTCTAATTTTATGACCAGCACCTGTATGAATGCACAACTCTGTATCCATATTTTAATTTCTAAATTGCAATAATAATTCCTATTGCTAGCTTCTTCTACTCCTTTCTTCTTTTAAGCAATGCTTTAATTTATGCTACTGCAGAAAAATTTGAATACATTGAAGGTGGTTGATGTGATGTGACAAAATGTTAAAAGGTTCAATGATATTTTTCATATTAACTGTACTTATTTTCAACATAGAGGGAGATAATACTATTCAGGGACACAAAGTCCAGCATATAGACAACATTTTCAGCATTGCAGATGGACACTCATGGCCTGAATGTACGATATGCCTTGAGAATACAGCTACAGCATCGAGTATACCTTCTACCATGACAGAAACTCTTTATATTCTTTATTGAAGTATCACTTCATAAAAATCTTGAATTGGCTTCTGCATATTAAGCAAACCAAGCATTGCTCTGGTGGAAAGAGCAAAGGAAAGACACTGATTATTCTTCACTGTTTGCAAGATTACACAAAAGAAAAGACGGTCGATCTTTATGAAAGAAGCTGGAGAGAAATGTTCAAAGATCATAAACTATTATCTATGTTGTTCCTGGTTTTTAAAAACTTTTGAATTTTCATTTCATGCCGTAAGAAGATGAAAAAAAAGTCCTAAATTACTCTGGGTGACTGCCAGTGTCAGAGTTATTACTTTGCTTTCATATGCAGAGGAGAACCAAGATAATGAGGTTGATTCACTTTCATAATTAAGGTTACCGAAAGTAGAAAGAACTGTTTTGTGTGCAGTGCAGTCTTTATTTTCAGTCTTTTTGAAATATAAAAAAATTCAATGAGCATGCATAATATTTTTTACTTAAATTTGTTATTATATCTGACATAAAAGCCTTTTTTAAAGGGTCACACATCATTAAAAAATTTATGTTAGGTTTAAACACCAAACATTTTATTCAGTAACCTGTACAAAGGAAGACACAGAGAATTTTAGTATGATTTACTTGCAAGGAGAGTGATCAGAGACTGTTCAGTTACAATTCTCCAAACCACTCTGAAACAGCTCTGCCCTCACAAGCCTTTATTAAAGGAAACGCCCTAACTACAATGTTGGTTCCGACTGCTGAAGGGAGGGGTGAAACCCAGTCGGAACCAGAAGTCTGCATAACATCATACAGTATCATGAGATAAGAAGGCTTTCACTCCTTTCTCCGGTGTTAGTGAGTGCAATCCTCCATTCTCCTGACCTTGCTTTCTGCACACACTAATAACAAGCATTAGAAAGACAGCAAGTGAAACATTTCAACACTTTGTGTAATACAAGTATACAGGAATATGCAAATGTGTAAATATGAATGTATAAGTATAATATGATTAAAGTAGAATAACTTAATTAATCCAACAATTAATCCAACATTTCCCCCCTGTTTATTCACTTTAAGCTATTTATTTTATCATTCAGTAGTCACTTCTTTTCAGATTTTCAACTATGAAATCATGTTTTAGCTGTAAAGGGTACACTCAGAGGTACTTTAAACTGGTGGGTTACTGGTAATATAATTGGAATTAGGATAAAAGTCAGGAAAATGCAAAGAGATTTCATCCTCTGCGCTGTCTTCATCATCAGATGGGTATTCTTCAGTGGGCATGAGGGCATACATTTCTGCTTTCATGGGTGGTATTGCTGTGGTAATCAGTCTATTTAGCAGCGCTCTAATACATGGAATACAACAACATCCACATAAGGTCAAGATGGCGGCAAATACAGCTATAGACATTAAAATAGAAAGCACCAATTGTTTGTATTTACCAAAAATGTCTCCAAATCCATCCCACATTTTTGTGTCAACTCCAGAATGGTCTTTCATTTTGCTGTTAAGAGAGCGAAGGCCTTCAAGGGCCTTTGTGAGGCTGCCATCTGCAGCGGTGTTGTTGGGAATAAAGGTGCAACACTGATCTCCAAAAATTGAGCACACACCACCTTTTTCAGCTAACAACATGTCAACAGCAATACGGTTCTGGAAAGCCATCAGAGAGGTAGCTGACAATTGTTCATGGACGGCGGAGAAGCCTTGTTCTGTTTTATTTCCCAGCCTCTGGACGTTATAATGGATGTAGTTGATTCTGTCTACATTTTTATTTATAGTGCACCACCAGCATAAGAAAGATTCAAATCCTGCAGAAACTTGATTGGCTAGTTTATACTCATCAGGAACACCTCTGGGTACACCAATGCTATCAATATAAGTAGGGTCATCTCCACTCCATGCATCTTCAGATGCCCTCCTCCTTCTAGTATGCTCTGTGTGAGGTAAAATGCTGTTTGCAGTTGTTAACAATTCATCCGTTGTGAGTGATGTAACAGAAACAGGTAAAATCAAGGTGACAGCAGCACATAATCCAGTGGTGTTACATGGAAGTTTGTCAAACAATTTGTCATCTCCACACCACCACCAGATGTCGCTGCGGAATTGAGGTTTTTTAAAAAAAAAATGGATACCA